ATCTATCTATCTATCTATCTATCTATCTATCTATCTATCTATCTATCCATCCATCCATCCATCCATCTATCTATCCCTGTTAGAGTTTCTGATATGGTAAATCATTCTGATTTTGATTAGCTTCACTGCCAACATTCTTCTTAGACCTTGGCGTAGTAAAAATGACTTAGTATACAGTTTAATAGAAGAGCACTGAAGGAAGTGACATTTTCAAGCATTCACAACATCAACCATTTGTGTTTCCTGTTCCCAATAGTCTTTAAGATTCTGAAATACCTTCTATTAACTTTAAAATGTTTTACATTGTGATTTTGTTGCATGAGTTAGGTACCGAATGGATTTTCTAATTAACTAGATATTTGTCATTTACTTGCCTAAGGTAGCACAGAATCATTCCCCCAGTTCACTACAATAGCATCATTGAGCAGTGTGAATTGATTGTACTGTCTCTATTCATATACATTTCTTTCTACAGAATGTTAGGGCAATGGGGGGGTATATCTAGGGCTTTTTGATTGTATTTTAATGGAAAGAGTAGACATTTACAAGATGGAAGAGTCATAGGATATTCATAACCAGAGTAAAGATAGGCACATCCCTCAAACTCTCTGGCCAGTCAGTCTAGCCCAAAGTGAGAGACCCAGAAACAGAGGAAGAAAGATAACTGATATCTTGCTCTAGTCTCTGCATGGGTGCATGGTACACACTCACATGTCTGCATCATACACATATACAACACACACACACACACACACACACATACACACACACACACACACACACACCTCCTCCACACCAATTAATGCTTCATGTTAGACAAATAAACCATTCAGTGACATAGTCATTAAATTTAGTGAGTAATGACATCCAATGCAATTGTTGAGGGTGTGAAGATACTTTAGGTCTTTCTCATACTACTAATATCATTCAGTTTTAGGTATTATGTGATGTTACTTCTGAATCTGTCCTTTCTTTCATCCTCAAATGTCATGTTCACACTCTTAGCACTTTTCAATATATTCACGTGTATTTCTCCACATCAACTTGGCATCTTCCCATCTTAACACATGACACACATTGTGGTAGGGGGTGACCATTTTCTTTCTTTTTTTCTTTTTCTTTTTTTTTTGCTATATTGGGGATTAAACCTCATGCATATTAAGTAAGCATTCTCCTACTGTGCCATATGCCCCTTATCTTGGAGTGACCTCTTAAAAATATATATTACTGTCTGAATAAAAGTACTCCACAACATTACACATTTTTCAAAAGAGTTTGATCTCCCAACTGACTCATAAAATCTAAACAATATATGTTCCTGATGCTTAACTCCCCATACGTAGAGAGTCTTGCATATTCTTTTAGCTTTTATGAACTCCTTAAAAAATTTTTAACTTGAGAGGGCCTTCGGAGTGGTGAGATGATTCGGGCCTGCGGCAGGGGCCCGGCGAGGGGAAGCTAGGACTTTCCCCGACCCCATAGACTCCCAGGTCAGCCTGCTCT